AACTCATGCAGAAGTGGCTTTAGCTTCTCAGTGCAGTGCTTTAACCCGCTGCGCCACCAGCGAGGGCCCTGATTGATTTTTTTATGGAACATTTTTCTATTTTCTATGAGGGCTTGAAATCTGTTAGTGACAGTGGTCTTGCTTTAGGTCTCCACTGCACATATACTGGCAGGTGTGGGAGGAGCATTAGGTACCTCATGGCGGACCTCCTTTTGACCTTCTGGAGAAAAAGTAAATGTCCCAGGTATGGTAGCAGATTCACAAAAGGGAGTTCATACAGTTTTTACCAAATCCCATGTCGAAAAAATAGTAACAAGAATATGCTTACCTTCGTGATGATGCTTTTTATAAATAGCCCCAATTCTGTCCCAGGTTTCAGTATCAAGAAACCCTTTGTCTGGAAACCAAGCACAAGTTTCCAGAACCTAAGAAAGTTATTTTTTGTAGGACCTCAGTAGTAACTTAAGCTCCTGCCTGTTTTAGAAGGCATTTGAAAAGTGAGATATAACATGCAGAATGAGAAAAGGGGAGATTGTTACCCATGTTTTTAAGAGGGAAAGGACATACTCAAATGAAGACTTCACAGGCTCTGGGTCTGTGGGCCTTTTACCAGACTGATTTGAAAGAAAATTAGATAGGAATGATTTAATGGAAAATATCAGACTCCATGTCTGTAGTCCTTTAATCTGCCTATTTAAGCATTTTCACTTTGTTCTGTTGTTCCCTGTGGGTTCCAAAGCTTCCCCAGATCCAAGGAAGGCTTCCCTTCCGTGTACAATGGAGATTGGAGCTCATCCTTCTTCAGGTCCCTGCTGGGCACCACTTGCCTGAACCAGCCCTGGAAGGAATGGTCGAGGAGAAGAATCTGAAAGAACCAAGAAATAAAGAACTAGCCGACACAAAATAGAGTTTACAAGAAGGGGTAATGAGATGTCAGGTTTCCCAGTCCAAGTGTAAAAATGTACAAACGCATTTTTATTGAGACAAGCTACTCCCCACCCCTTTTAGGTTAGTTAAAAGACAATGATTTATTCTCTTGGTATTCAGTATGAATCGGGCACAATTCACTACCAAGCTTTCTGTGTTAGCGTGTTATTTTGTTCCCACCTCTGTTTCTCCTTAAACCTTAGCTTTGCTGATACAAGGAAGGACATTTCAGTCTGGATACAGTCTAGTGTTCCAGCCCCATGCCAACCAGTCTTCCAGTTATGATCTTGAGACTTTCCTTGTTTCAACATTTTGAGCCTTAGCGGTCTCCAACAAGTTTTAACAAATGTTCTATTTCTTTAATCAATGTTAGATATTTCAAAATTTCGTTTTATTTTTAAAAAATAGTTATTTATGCAAAGAAGATACAATGGAACAAAGAAAATTTGTTCAGCAAGTGGTGCTGGGAAAACTGGGAAGCTACA